CACCCCCCCGGCTCTCCCTTCCCAAACAGGCGTCGTTGGGAAACAGCGTTGCGTCGTGCCGTTAGACAGGGCACGGTGTCCTCCCTTTGTTTATTTAAGAAGATCTAGGGGTACGGAAAATGAGTTTTAAGTTAAACAAAGAGTTGAAAAATGTCTTCGCGTTGGGCAGCTGTCGTTCTTCGGCTTGCCACCGTATTCCAGCTTTGTCATTAACTACAGGTTTTCTGCAAAGAAAAACTCCTGGAGGCCTTTCGCATATGTTAAGCAGCTTTGCCTTTGTAGTCAGATGTTTTCAAGCACTTTCGCGGTGTTTGATGACAGATGTCAGTCACCCCAAGCTGCTGCAGATTTGAACAGAAGTTTTCAGTGTGACGGTCCGGTATTTGAGCGCAGGACTGTCTGTCCTGATATTTGCGGCATGTGTGTGGAGAAGTCTGTATGTGGCCTTTGAGGCCATGCCAGCACATGGAAGACGGGCCTACTTTAAACAACTGTTACTAATGCCTCCAGTAAGTGTGCATCAGTGTAGTTAGGGTGAAAGGCCTTGGGAAGGGTATCTGCTTAACTTTATCAGCCAGCAATTTAAAATATAGATAAATATAGAAGTATACATGTGTTCAGCACTACGTATTATAGTTAAGTGTGGTTCTGAAGAAGTGCTGCTTGCATTTTAGCAGTCTGACCTGTTTTGCATGTATAGATTTGGCCTGAAACTTCTGGTTGTATTACTCTGAGACACTCAGTGTGAAGAAATGACAAATAATTGATAGACTTGGTTCTTCCTGGTACCCAAAAAAAGGTTTTAGTATTAAAAAGATAAATATTTTTGGTTTTTTTAATCTTTCTTGAAGTTGAAATGTAATTGAAATGAATTTTAGTTCATTTCTCTGTATTTTTTATGCATAAGTGGGTAGTTAGATTTTTAAGCAGATAAGACTTAAATGAAAATCTAAAATCGAAGAATCGAAAAACACTGGTGGAAAAAATAACGTCCCATAAGAACAAATGTGCTTTTTATGGAAG